GAGTCGATGAGGATCTGCAGCGCCTTTCGCAGAGGAGCCTCTCCTTCGGCTCCAACGGTCGTCACCAGCACCTGTGGTCTCGCCTTGGCCAGGATATAAGCCAGCTCTCGTGGGCTCAAGTAGGTGGAGATGGGGCAGACGGTCAGATTGGCAGCGACGGTACCGAGGGCAATGAGGGGCCAGACCATGCCATTGGGGATGTGAAGCAAAACAGTGGTGCGAGGTGCATGGATAGGCTCTCTGGGATTTTGCGGATTCGGACTGAAGGCGACGGGACGATGTGTAAGTGTGGATAGCGAGCGTGCGATGCGAAGACTGTCGGCTCGCAAACGCGCCCAGCTGAGTTGAGCGCCTGTTCCATCGTGAACGAGCACTGGTCGATGCGTGGGGATGGGTTGGCCGTCGTTGGTGTGATCGGGGTACTTTTGGGGCTGAAAGTTGGGATGATTCTGGAGGGGATTGCTGAACAGGAATGTGTAGAGATTTTGGTCGGCAGGGAAGGGCACGCTGAGCCCGCTGATCTGATTCGACATGTTGGACTGGAGGCGGGGTACGTTCCGGTCAAAAAGGAATGGGTAAAGGCGTTGATGACAGGCAGATCCACTGATAGTCGGATGCGATACGCGGGAGCAAAGGAGGGCGAGCAAGTCAGATGGTCGGGAGGAGAGAGGCTACCCCACAAGTCTGGGGGAGCGGAGATGGAGTGCTGTTGCCAGCAGCTACTTATTGCTGAGGCACATGCTTGGATGAAGAGGGCGTAGGCACCCTACGGCTCGGCTGTCAAACCGAGCAACGTTGGCGGGAAAAAAGTTGTCGGGTCCTGGCCGACCGAAGCTTGGCTACCCCAAAGGCGAATACGAACACCACGCAAACGTACACGCACATGCAGCAATACGACACTATGGGTTTGGCGGTTAGCTTTGACACACAGTAGTGCGCATGTGTCACGGCAGTCGCGGCACATCCGCTCGGTCGATAGGCTCGAGTTCCACCTTGTCTTTCTCGGCCTTGCGGCCGGGCTTCGAGACTAATTGGAAAGCTCAACATACGGTACGCGGACTCGCTGTCGCTGTAGTGCCGCCACCCTTTCCCGTCGTCATCTCTGATTAGTTCTCACTCCAACCTGAAAGTTGAGCTCAACGTTCATATGGACTGGACTCCGGTGCTTTATCCGTCATGAAGCAGTATCGATCCGTCAACTGCTGGCCAAGCTCCGTCTGATGAAACGGTTGGCTCGGTGTGTGATTTCATTCCGGTCACTGCTCTGTCCGACTGTACAGCCGCCATACTGTTCAATCTACTACAGTCCAACCTCACGAGGTAGACACTGAGGACTGACGGATGAGCCGAAGGTCGGCGTGCCGAAACGTTGCAAGCCGGTGTGCCTGGCCAGTGCTCTCTTGGCAGGTGCATATTATTATTGCTGCATTGTGCTCAACGTGAGAAGAGCGAGACATTATACTGTCCATGTACAGTAAGTACCCTGGCGCGCCTCCTGTTGTGCTCGCAGAGACCCTAAATGTGGGGTACCGCGAGACCCGCATCCATTTGCCCATTCTGGTTGGCTTTACCGGCCGTCGCGAGTAGCCGACACCACAAGGTCCGCTTCAGACGTCCGAAAAAGTCAGTCACACTTCAGGGTCTCTCGGCCGGCTGGATGCTCACTCCTGTAGCACGCTCCTCAGATGTTGCCTTGATATCCTTTCCTACGATGCAGATGTATGTCTTGCTTTGATGCAACGAGGGAACTTTTCTTTGCGGTTCTTGACAGCTTCGGCAGGCATATCGTGTTGTTTGGAGCTCCCTGGACACACCCGGCCCTCCGAGGAACGGCGGGGCCCAATTCATTCGGGAGACGCCAAGAGTGTGGGACGCTGGAGAAGACACCGGTTATGTTGATGGCCACATCGCCGATTTAGAAGACGCGTCCACGTTCCAGCGAGCAGGCGGCGGGCTCCGCAACTTTTGCGCCTCGGCAATTTCTGTATGGCCATCCCAGAACGACAACCTAAACCAAAGAGTGGCCTTCGTGCATCGCCTAAAGTGTGTCTGATGCGGGTGTACAAGAAGCTGAATCCCGCACTCGAGTGCCCAGCACGAAGCACGAAGGACACCGATGCTAAAAGGCGCCAGCCTGATCGGCGAGGCGCATCGGACGTTCGGGGCATTCATACCTCTAAAGTCGCCGATGGGCCAAACGGATCACAAGCTCAGGCTATCTCCCGATCAGGATCAATGGATTTCGCGCCAATGATCTTGATTTTTGCCGCCTGATCTTGCCTCTCTGCACCTTTTTTGATTTATTTTTGGCTGCGCTAGTAGACGCCTTCATCCCTCGACTCGCGCGCCAAGAATGCATACTGCAGGCGAGCTAGCGCGTCAAAACATTCAAAAAGGCATGCCTCTACAGCACCTGCGTTGATGGGCTGCTTGCGTGCTGTCAATGAGAGTGGTGGTCTCTGTTGCCGCCAACTTGCAGTGTCACCTTTGCCTGACCACGCCAAAGAGAGGGGTCTACTCCGATTAGGTGGCTTGCAATGGCGACACAGCCCGACGAGCCCGATAAGCAGAATTGGCGCCATCTCGAGAAAGTCACGGCGAGCGACTGCAGATCTGCACAAACAAGCTTTCGGAGCGGCAAGGCAAGGTTACTGTAATGCCGTGAAGATTTCGCTCGAGCACTGGATTCGGTGTATTGTTCCCTCCGTACAATACACTTTCGAAGCACCCCAAAGCGGAGACCGTGCCGTGTGATTGATTGAGTGAGCAATGTAGGCGTGGAGTTGGAAACACAGAAGCGACTGTGGATCTTTGCCGAGCAAGTGATTTCCGTGTCGTGCTCGCCCTGAGCTTGTTGTCTCTGTCGGGCAATTGATTTTCAATGATTCTCTTTTGTCGAAACGAGGGTCCGGGGCGATCTTGCCGGCCTTCGAAATCCACATGCTCGGAAACGCCGTTGACTGCCTGCCTGCCTGCCTGCTGAGAAGCAGTGCAAACCGACCAGGCGCGACAGGGTCTGTTTATTGCCGCCTCGCAAGGCCGGATGACCAGAAACATTAATGGCCTTGTGAGCACTCCTAGTACATTGCTGTAGTCGGTCTGGTACAGCGAGATCGTACAGAGCAACAGAGGTCAAAAATGGAGTCAGCAGACGGCTGTGCTGGGTTGGCAACGTACAGCACAAGTTGGCCGCGTTCAGTACAGCGCTCGTTGCAACTGTGGCTGCTACTGCACGTCTTTGCTGCTGCACGTCTGCTGCAGCTCTATGCATCTCGATGTGATGCGCTCTTGAGTTTGCTGTGCTGATCACAGCACTAGCTCGTGCAGCTTTGGTGGCGGCGTCATTTTGTCTGAGTCTTCCACACTGGATCTCTCTAAAGTCCATCATCCCTTGCCAAGTACGGCGTCTTCCTCCACCACCACTCCTCTGACTCTTGCCCGCCATCGTCATAAGACGAAGACAAACGCCGGACGTTGTCTTCCAGGTTCGCCTTTTGCTTGCTACTATCGTCGCCCAGGAACACTCATTCATTGACCAGAGCACTCGGAAGCTTGTTCATTGCAAATAGGGGAAGATCTTGGGATATCACGCTTTCCGGACATTTTGCCACCATGAAGTTCGCCACTAGTCTCAGCATCGGCGTCGTTGCCATCCTCGCTGCATCCTCCACCGCCGTCGCTGCACCATCATCGCCTTCGTCAGAGCAGCTCCAAAAGCGTCAGAGCGGCAGTGGCTACTTTAGTCCTTACACGAACGGCGGCTCGATGTTGACGGGTGGCACCGCTTCCGGTCTCGGTGAGCCCATCAACGTTATCGTGTCGGGTGAGTCCGACGCAGGTGTGCTGTCGCAGGCCGGCTTCGAGGAGTTCTCGCGAGCCTTTTACTTTTCGCCTGGTTCCTGCCTCGGCATCACCCAGGGTACGCCTCAGACCGCCAACCTCGGTGACGGCCACGGCGCCCTGGCCCAGACCAACCTTATGCGCTGGAATTTCAAACAGGGTGACGGAGGAACGTGTCTCCAGTCTCTCAATGGCGGTAACCACTTCCGATACTGGGTCCAGAATGGCACTGCTGCCAACTCGGGTGCCATCTTCATTGCTGCCTCGGTCGAGCAAAATGCCACCCTCAACCACATGATCGACACTGATGGGTACGATCAGGGTCGAGACCAGCTCGTTGGTAATGTCACTGCAGGCACCCTCACCAGTCCTGGCGGCTTCCAGTACACCGTCACTTCTCAGTCCAACACCGACTTGCTCAGCTCGGTCAGCACCAGCCAGATCAACCACGGCATTGCCATCGACGGATCTGTCTCCATCCTCACGGTTCGCGTCACCAAGCAGGGCACCATTGGCGCAGACTCAAACACCAGTACCAGCAGCTCTTCCAGCGGCGGCTCCACATCTACTTCGCAGCAAAGCAGCGCCATCTCGCACCTCTTGACGGGAAGCGATGGTGCTCGTCGTACCGTAGCGCTGGTCGCCGGTGCTACTGCCCTGTCGATGGCGGTCTCTCTTGTTCTTTAGAGGATGATCAGCCTTGAGCTCGAGGAATCTCCATTCGTCAGTCTTGTAGAGCCGCAGGAATTGCATCATTAGATCTGGTATTGTTTCTTTTGACGACTAGCTCGTGATTCTTCCCTTTCCTTCCATTATCAATTCACCTCAGACCTCTCCTGTACATTTCACTTTAGCATCACAACAACGTATTCATGGACAATCAAAGCGCTCTTGCCATATCGCGGAAGTGCTTGCCGCTACGCTTTGGCACTGGCCGGACATGTGACAGTTTTGACTAAATAGTGGGAGCATCTATCTGATCAAAGCCAGCGTCGGATATTGGAATGTCGAGACGCGCTTTAAAAGTACTCAAAAATACGGAACCTAAAATCCTCTTAGAAAAGTCACCCATGCGTTTGCTTCATCTGACGCGAGAAGGGATGGGGACAGAGAATGTTACGTGTGGTGTACCACGATCAGCGCAAAAAAGGTAAAAAGAACTCCCAACGTGGGGCTCGAACCCACGACATTCAGATTAACCCGAGAACAAGCTCGGAAACTCTTGAATAAGAGTCTGACGCTCTACCGACTGAGCTAGCCGGGATAGTTGGTTACTTGTTTCACCGCTTCAAGCATTGCGTATATATCCTTACAACTGCTTTCTGGCATGATCAGCTCCGACCAGGGAAAATAACCTTCCAGCACGACACCTCCCCCAAGTGTGGGGGTTTGTAGCGGAGCTTTTGAACACGGTGCACGCACCCTTTGCACTTCAAGAAGTTAGCGGTGTACTGTGCTGTACCGTAGCTCATGTGCTTTCTTCCGTTTATTTTGGGTTTCACGGTGCTAACGTTGGCGAGACCACCTGTATTCCTCCACTGCCAACGCAGCAGCTGTTGTGTGCAGCATACACAGACCCTGACCAATTTGGCCACCATCACCAACACTGCTGGCCTGCGGAGAGCAACAGCGGCGCCACAACCATCAATGCCATTCGACGCAGTGATCTCCACACGATAGATAGACTCGGGAAACAGTACGACCAGTTTCCGGTGCTGGGCCACTCGGGATGCTGGGTGCACCGGTAACGAGTAGCTATGGCTCTAGTGGCTTTGGGCGCCCAAATCACGGCTCGGCTCTCTCAGTATCCTCCGTGGACCTCGATATCGAAGGAGGCGGCCGTATTGATGAGAACTACGACGCTGGCCTTCCCTGGCCCTTTGGTGGCAGCGGTCTCGGCGACATTCTGGGCGGCCGGGGCTCGTATGCTGCTGCGTGGAGTGCAAAAGGCCCAGCAGAAAACATCCCTCGACTCTCGGCAGGCCAGAGCTTACGGTGCCACCTCGCATGGGCACGACATGGCTGGTGGGATGCCAATCGCTGGAGTGATGCGTTTCAGCTAATTGCCAGCTCGCGCGAAATTCGCAACGGCGTCATAAAGGGCCTCTTGCTCAGCGGTACCATCTCGGCGCTCGTCTTTTTCTTCGAGCTTGCATTCTTTCCCAAGGTGCTCTTCCAGCGTCCGGACAAGGTTGCTCATGACATCGCGTCGTCGGCGGGGAGCACTGGCTCGCTAGTCGGGTCGCTCGGCAACGTCTTTTGGCTCTATCCGCTCATCGGGGGCAGCTACCTTTTGGCATCGTCCTGGACGGCAGACATTGCACAGGCCGCTTTCAAGCTGCGACATGGCCATGCGCGCAATCTGAGCCTGGCCAACGCCTCGCTTCCACCCGGCACCTCGCGGCGTCTCCTTCAGGAGAGCTATCGAATGATTCTCATCATTAACTACACTATCGTCTATCTCCTTCTGGGGCAGGTGCCGTATCTGGGCCGCTGGCTCTCGTTCCTCTTCATGTGCATGGTCGATGGATACTACTGCTTCGAGCAGGTGTGGATCTCGCGAGGCTGGTCGCTCGAACGTCGAATGCGATACTGCGAGGAGCGCTGGTCCTACTTTGTCGCGTTTGGCCTTCCTTCCACCGCCGTCTCCTTCTTCCATCCCAGCGGCCTGCTCAACCTCATGCTCTTCATGCTGGTCTTTCCCTTCTGCGCCGTACTTGCCATGCTCGCCAACCCACAGCCGCGCATCTCGGCATCCGGAGCAGCAGCCGCATCGACGGGGTACGGGTCTGCTGGATCCGGTCTCGACGTGAGTGCGCCGCTCAGCAGACTTGTGCCTTCGCGACTGCCAATCTTTTGGCCCACGATCCAGCTGCATAGACTCGTCCTCAAGACCCTACCCACACTCGCGGAAGTCCCCTTCGATGCCACGTCACAAGCGTACGAGCGAGCTGCGGCTGCCTCTTCGTACGGCCGGGGCGCCACTGGCCTTGTGGCCGGTGGATTCGCAAACAATGGCGGATTTGGCGGAGGCTTCGCTACACAGGGCAAAACAGCAGCTCGCATGGTCGGCGGCATCTTTGGCGCGTCACAAGATCCCATCAGCAACTCGGGGAGGGCATCACCGGCAAACTGGCCAGCGCCTCGGGATGCTGTCGTCCAGCAGCAGCAGCAGCAGCAGCAGCAATCAGTATATGGATCGACGGTAGATGCCAACGGATTTGCGTCCCAACACACCTACTCGTCTACGGGCACCTATTCGAATCCGAATCAGAACATCCACGCTCGCACCTTTGGCGCTGCAGCCCAGTCGAAACCCCCCCTTGCTCCACCACCAAAAGGTCCCGCAGCCAACCATCGCAAGAATGACTAGATTCATACAGTGCATTTCGAAACTTGCTTTGCATATCTCATGCTCGGTGTCTTTTCTTGACTGTGTTTGGGCTTCAGAGGAATATCTGAGAAAAAGAGCGCATGATCTGGTTTGCCAGCAGCATCATCGCTGAGCTGGTGCATACACAGCACGGTCTTCATCTGTGTCGTGGCTGCTAAGACCTGCCTTCATCTGTGCCTAGCGCCACATCCCGACATTTGTGGCAACCGCGCTGGGGTGGTGGGTTGACGATCCGAGCAGATAAGGTCTCGATTCTGAGTCTGGCTCTGTGATTGACGTTGAACCCACTCCGAGAGTCCGAGTCTTGGGCTGGCATACAGCAACGAGTATGAAACGATCAGACGACGGGTGCTGAGCGGCTATAAGTAGTGACAGAGTGCTTGAGCGTTTGATTGGCTCTGCCCCGCTCGCAGATGCCAGTCTTTCGTCACAGCCTCTGCTTACATTATGCTCGTTCGGTCGCCTCTCTTGCTGCTGGCCAGCGCGGTCGCACTTCAAACCGTCTCGGCCAACTCACCCGGCACCGACTCGCACGCGCTGGTTCGACGTGCTGCGGCTGCTGCGGCTCCTGGCGAGGAATGCTATACCCAATTTGCAACCAGTCCCGACAAGTGTCCCGTGGTCAATGTGGCCTTTTTCAGCGACGATGCATGTAGGCAGCCTGCCAATCTTGCGAGGCAGTCGACCTTCCGACGAGGGAATGCCGAGATGCAGTTCGACGGAGCCATTTCCAACGGCGTCTATGGCAGGTTCGGATCCATCAAGATCTTGGCAGCTGCACAAGGCATGGGTGTTGGATTTGCAAAGAACCAGGACTCGGATACCCTCGTCATGAACATGGCCTGGATGTCGGCTGCCGATACCGCCAACGCCTTCAAGTCCAAGGCTTGCATCACCTTTGAGAATCTTGCACCGGGCCAGGCACTCTTCTGGACCGCGCGTGTAGAAGATGTGCTGAACCAGGAAGGATATGTCTGGAATCCATGGAATCTTCCAGTGACATCGCAGAGATGCCATGGTAGCACCAGCAGCGGACGAGGCAATGCCCAGTCCGTGTGTCTCCAGCGACGCTCATGGGGTTTCGGCGCCGTGCTGGAGCTCTACGAGTCTCCCGACTGCACACATCGGGGCCAGCGCACGCGCCAGATCTTCAACTCTGCCCAGTGCACGCCTCTCACAATGACCGACTTTCAGTCGTTCCAGATGATCGAACCTCGTAGTGACCAGTTCGACATGCACTTTAGCTCCACCTACTACGCCATCGGTGCCAGCGGATACCATGCTTGTGACATCAGGCCGGATACCAAGATCCGCATCGTACCTGGCCGGTGTGAAAAGATGGCTGGCAAGGGAATCTACGTGGGTGTCTATGGCGTCGACGACAGAGCTCCACCCCAGGGCCCCGCCCCCGGCGACAAGGTGCTCCTCCGAGGAACCCTGCCCATCGCCGGCCATCGTCGTCGAAGAAGGCATAGTCGCCTCGGTCACCACGGTCATGTATAGCCAGCGTCGTCCTCGCTTGGCGTACATTGTCGTATCTGGTATCGTTCGCCGTCGCCATCTGTAATGCCAAAGTCGCTTGCTCTTCTTTGCTTTCCGAGCTGTTGTCTGGCGTGGGTTGTGATTTGTTAGGCCAGACGGCTACCTTCGGATACTGGGCAGACACGGCGATTTTCTTTGCGGGGCATACATTTTGCCGGACTTTGAATGGTGCCGAAGGAACTACTCTATGGCTGGCCAACTTTCATCCGGTGCGATTCTGCCGCGCTGCTGCATATACGATCAAGCGGTGCGGGGCCCTCTCGAAGTACAGTAGCCTGTGGGGGCCCGAAATTTCTTGCTGTGGAGAAGGAGTCCACGAAGAGCCCCCATTCTTCTGAAATGCTTTCTCTGGTCTCCTTGTTTCCATACCACAAGGTGCCTCCTCAATCTATCTTGCTGCACTCCATCCAAAATGTCGACGTCGAACAAGGCCAGCATTCTCGTTATCAACGGGCCCAACCTCAACCTTTTGGGTACTCGAGAGCCGGAGAAGTGAGTCCATCCTCTAGGTCATCCGCACAAGTGTGCACTCAATAGACAACTGACGTCGCTGACGCTCCGACTGCAACCGCCTGATCAGGTACGGCTCGACCACACTGGCCGACGTCGAGGGCAACGCAAGAACACAGTGCGCTTCATTGGGGCTCGAATTCGATGCGTTCCAGTCAAATCACGAGGGCGCGATCGTTGATCGAATTCACGCCGCGAGACTCGATGGCACCAAGGGCATTGTGATCAACGCCGGTGCCTACACGCACACCAGCGTCGCGATCCGGGATGCTCTCGCAGGAGTCAGCATTCCGTTCGTGGAAGTTCATGTAAGTAGGGGTGCTGATGAGAGCCGTAACAGGTGCAACGACTGACCGTACTTCTGTTGACTTGACTGCATTGGCGACGACAGATCACCAACGTCCATGCCAGAGAATCGTTCCGTCATCACTCTTATCTCTCCGATATCGCGACAGGAGTCATAGTCGGCCTCGGCGTTCACGGCTACACGGCCGCCATCACCTTCCTGGCACAGAAGCTTCAGTCGAACGCCGCACAAAAGTAAAGACACGCATCCTTCTACAGGGTACCTGCAATAGACGCCGCATTCCTTTGACACTGTGACGAATGATTGGACGAGGGCCGGGGGGCATCTCTCGAGCACGGCTTCCGTATGCACAAGAGCCCAAGTCGAACACAGTGTCACGCGCACGATCGTCGAGGTACGATGGTGGTAAATGAGCTCGCTGTTCGGACTGTGGAGCAAGGAGGATGCATCCTTAGAGCGGAATTTCTCGATGTTAGATCTGTTGAAATCAGAGTGTTAGGCTATGGAGAAT